GGCTTTCACGGATTAGTTTTATCTTCGGTTGAATTACTATATTTTGATTGAGCTACCCTTTTATAGACCTACAATACTGAATTATTATTAAGTTGCTTTGAAATTTTTTCTTTTAAGCTGCTTGTGTAAACTTTGTTCATTTGTTAATTATGGTTGAACGTGATATGAAAATGGTGAATTAAATCACAGTAACCCCATCCTCAAAAATCACAGAAAGAAAGTTAATGGGTAGTAGAAAGTATGCTCAATGGAAGAGAATTGTTCGTCGGTATGTGTCAAGTTTAGATTTGGATGATCACTTGACTGATAATCCACCTCCACATTCTGATACTAATCCTGGGATTCGAAAAAAACGGTTGATGGAGGATGATAAGCTCTTTAATCAGATTCAAAATACTCTTGACCCTACAGTTGATGATGTTATTAATCATTGTGATACAGTGAAAGAACCGTGGGACTATCTAGAGTTTATGTTGCAAGTAAACATGATGTATTGCATGTTCATGAACTAATGCTGAAAATTTATCGGGCTGAACAAAAGGGGTGAAATTTGTTTCAATATTATATTGAAGTAAAACAAGCATTTGAAGAAAAGCGAGCCATGTTTCTTATTACTGGTGATGTGGAGAAGATGCAAGAACAGGAAGAGCAAATTGTAGTCCAGTGTTTTCTTGCAGGATTGGGTCCTGAATATAAGGTGGCTCGTACTCAGTTACTTACCAGTAAAACACTACCTTCATTGAGTGATATATATGCCCGTCTACTTCGGGTATGCAAGGACAATGACAAGGAGCAAGGTATAGTACCAAATGAGACAATAGCTCTGGTTGGCGCAAATTCAAAATTAAATAACAATTACAAAAATAAAGGAGGAGGTGGTCGAGATAACATTTCCAATGGTTTGTTATTATTGTGGAGAGCAAGGATATATTAGAAGGAACTGTTGGAAATTGAATGGTAAACCAACAAAGAACACAAGTCAAATTCCCATAAGAAAGTTTGCAAATGTTGCTGCTCAAGATGGTCTTTTACCTACCCTTTTACTTAGCCTCAAGTTACAATTTCAGCAGATGAATATGCCTGCCTTACACAATTTTACACTTCTCAACCTTACACAATTTTACACTTCTCAACAGCCTCTTCCACCTTTCACTTCCACTTCTACTTCTACTTCTACTTCCACTTCCATTTTAGCCAACACAGGTAATTATACAGCGTGTCTTTCTACCGCATGACATAATTGGGTCATTGATTCCGGTGCTATAGATCACATGATTGGGAATACAGGTATACTTTCTTCACTTCTATACTCTTCCAATTTACCATGTGTCACTTTAGCTAATGGGTCTACAACTCCTGTTGTTGGATGTGAGACTGCATATCCAACAAACTCTCTACCAATGTCATCTGTTCTATGTTTGCCTAAGTTTCCTTTCAATCTCTTATCTGTGAGTCAAATTACTAAATCTCTTAATTGTAGTGTTCTTTTCTTTCCTAATCATTGTGTTTTCTAGGATCTTAGGACAAAGCAGATTATTGGTAGAGGGCGTGAGCTCAATGTCTTATATGTGCTAGATTCTTCTCCTACACAGGTGCCAAAATCGACTACATTCGCTAGTACTTCTTCTCTTCTACAACTTCATTATCGCTTCGATAATCCTTCTCTCCCTGTATTGAAGCAATTATGTCCTAGTCTTAGTCGAGTATCTCAATTAAATTGTGAGTCGTGTCAATTAGCAAAACACCAGAGTGTCATACTCTCCTAGAATGAATAAACGGGCCGTGTCCCCTTTTGATTTAGTACATTCAAATATTTGGGCTCCTTGTTCTGTTTTATCTAAGTTTGGTTTCGCTATTTTGTTACTTTCGTGGATGATCATTCTCGTGTTACTTGGTTATATCTTATGAAAAATCGTTCTGACTTATTCTCAATTTTTTTTGCCTTTTATGTTGAAATTAAAACTCAATTTGACAAATCTATACATATCTTAAGGAGTGATAATGCCAAGGAGTATTTCTCATCAACATTCACTTCCTTTCTTTCACAAAATGACATTATTCATCAATCTTTGTGTATTGTTACTCTATAACAAAATGGAGTGGCCGAAAGAAAGAATCGTCATTTATTGGAAGTCGCATGAGCTCTCCTTTTTCGTATGAAAGTTTCAAAAGAATTTTGGACAGATGCAGTCTCTAGTGCGTGTTACTTAATCAACTGTATGCCTTCATCTATCTTAGATGGTAAAATCCGTTTTTCCATTTTATTTCCCTCTCAGACTCTCTTTTCTCTTGCCCCTAGAATATTTGGGTACACTTGCTTTGTTCAAGATATGAGACCTCAAGTTACCAAACTTGATCCTAGATCCCTTAAGTGTATATTTTTGGGTTATTCTCGACGTCAAAAAGGTTATCGATGCTTTTCTCCCTTCTTAGGGCAGTACTTAGTGTCTGTCGATGTCACTTTTGTCGAGTCCACTCCTTTTTCTAATGATGCTGTGTCCTCTACTCCTTCTATCGAGTCTGGGGATGAATTCCTTATTTACACTGTGATTGCACCTGTGTTACTAATATCTTCTCGTCCTCCTGTTCGAAGTGTTTACAATCGTCGTGTGCAGTAATCTTCGGTAACACCTAATACTGGCCTTGACTTGCCTCCTCTACCTGCTACTTGGCCTCGGGATTCGTCACCCCCTCCTGATTCTACTCTTGACCTTTCCATTGCTCTCCGAAAAGGTAAACGATCATGTACTTATCTTGTCTTTTCTTTTTGTTTCTTACCATGCATTGTCACCATCCTCCAAGTCTTTCATTGCCTCCTTAGATCATGTGTCCATACCAAAATCTATCTCTGAAGCTTTATCCTATAGTGGCTGGTGAGCAGCTATACAAGACGAAATGTTGGCCCTGGAACATAATCACAAATGGGAATTGGTTCCTTTAACCTAAC